TGGAGATTTTCTGTTATTGGACTTGTTGAATTGATTGGAAACTGGTTTTGATGATTTATGGAGAATTTATTTTGAAATTGAACTTGAATTGCAGGTTTGGCATTTTCCCTATTTATGCTGGTATGCTGCTAAAATTTCTTTAAAATCTTGTTTTTAAGCTGAAATTAAAAGGGAAACCAAACCCATGAATTGGATTTCAATTTTTACAGAACCCCTAAACTCAATTATAAAGTTGTTTGTGAAACTTGGATTTGAGTCAAGGCACACTAATTGGAAACAATTAGACATAATTGAACTTGATTTGTTTAAGGAATGAGGATTGTGTCCTAAAACTTTGTTTTGTGACAATGTTAGTTGAAGGATCCTATTAAAAGCTTTGAGGAAAGTGGAGGCTAGGATAATGAAAGGCCAGCCCAGGTTTGATATCCGAGAGGTAGGATATTCTTGTCCATATCCTTATTAGCCTTATTTCAAATGATTTTGGCCAATGAAAATGTTTTTGGAATAAAACATGTTTAAAGAAAAAAAATGATTTTAAAGAAAATAACATGAATAATGCTATTGAGTTTCCAATGATTTTAGAAATGGAATTTTAAACAGTATCATTTCTTGAAATAAAATATTTTAAGAAATGATACAATACATGGTGGCCACAGAGATCGGGATATGGGAATCATATCCTTGGGGGCAGGTCCAGAAACCCGTACGGATCCACTTCTTGCTCAATGGTGTTATGGCTCTGCATATTTTCATTATACAGATATTTTACCACTACTATGTGAGTGTTTCCTTTTTTTTTAAAAAAAGGACGATCGGTTCCGGGTGTATGTCTTCGGACTGTGAGTACCTTTATTTACAATGTTTTACAAAATTATATCCTACTGGACATTCCGCTCACTTTTACTATTATGTTTTCAATGTTTTAAACCCCCTCCAGAGTTAGCAGTTTAGATTTACAACGTGACAAGTGGATGCCAATGGATTGAAGGCCCGAGATTCGAAGTGGTACATTTGTTTCAAATTTACAGTTTTAATTCTGAGTTGTACTGTATTTATGTATATAAACTGCATTGGTCGACATTGTCCCAGAGTTGTACTATTTTCCTTAGAGTTTATGGACGATTTTAAATATTATTTGTAAAGAAAAGTCTCCGGAGCAAACTATATTGATATTTATGTATTTGTTTTTGTGATTTTTGTTGAACAGTCCACCCCAATAATCACGGCGCTATCCTTGGGATCGTGACAGTTTTTGGTATCAGAGCGATGCTTCGAATTCCACGGGAAATCGAGCATGTGTGAGTTTTTACTGAGTTTTGTTATTTTTTTAACATTTTTGTGCCGGGACGTGTCGTATAATACTAGGTAATACATGATAGTGTTGCATTTGAGAATTTGACATTAGAGTCCGTTTCATTTTCCTAGAGCACTTTGATGGATGGAATCCATGTTTCTATTATCGATGTTTATCTATATGAAGATCGAGGTTAAAGTTGACTTTGAAGTTTTTAGGAAGTGTTGATTTCGACCCGATGGTTATTGATTTATTTCTATAAGTGCTCTTGATTCTTGTCAGTTTTAAAAATTCAAAGTCAATGTTGACTTTGGAAATTTTTTTTTACGAGATTTCGGTTTAGGAAACAATATTTGTTTTTACTTTCGTAGAGTTTGAATATCGGTATTGGTCTTTTCCACCTCTCGACCCGCTTAACGTATTGATTCAAATCGATGGAGAGCGACGACTTGGGTTCCAGTAGATTTTGATCGATAGAGTTTCCTCCCTCCATGTTTTACTTTTCTCGATTTGATCGATGCGCAAGTTTAGCCTTGCAATCTAGCTCTGTATCCTAGCTACTCGCCTCAATTCTCTTGAGAGTGTTTTGCTTAAGAGTGTTTACTTCATGGGTTCTTATGTTGATGAGACATCGTTCTTTCTTCGAATGGTGACGATGGTGGCTATAGACCCTATCGAGAGATTGACGCTTATCTTTGATATTAAATTATGTTCAGCTTTTGTTTGGGAAGTGTGGTAGGTCATAACCCACAAGTTCTAGGATTCTAAGTTCAAGTTCTATTTTTAATATGTTTTGACCAGAAACTGGTCCTTCTATTATTATTAGCATATCGAATCGTGCTATCTTTCTATCATAGTCCTATATCACTCAGGAATCAAAATCCTTTCTTGTCTCAAGTGTTAGTCTCGGTGATACTTTCGTTAACCTGAACCATGTCATTGTAAAACATTGACTATGGATATTAATATTCTCTGTCATTTTGCTTTTGGGATTCGATGTTAAGTCAGATGTACTTTTAGAGTTAATCATATCACTTATTTCCTTTCTAGTGAATGGTTTTCATTTGGTGTGGGATTTGTAGTCAATTTTGGCTTCAAAAATCCTCATTCAGTCACCAAGTCTTGGAGATTCAATTGTTATTTGATTTCATATCTATTCGATATTAAATTCATATTGGTTATTCTTTTAGAGTCAAATTTGACTATGAGAATTTCTTCGACTTTCTAGATTATAAGTCGATGATTGATATTCTTGTATTCGATCATCCCCAAAATTGGGTGTCTTTATTCCAGTGGTTGAAAGTCTATGTTGTTGATTGACTTTTAGCTGGAATTGATGGTATTTCGGATATGAGATTCCTGAATGAAAAGGCATCCTCATGTCTCATTCCATAATTCTGAAACTGATAAAGACTCAAATGAGGCGAGTGATCCAATTTTATTGAAATTGGAATTTCGTTTCTTTCTCATTGATAGAATGGTTGATTGTGGCAACCGATATCATGATGCTGCCAGCAGAGTCACAAGGTGGATATTCCTTTCCATCGTTTGACACGTAAGAATCCACAAAAAAGGCGTAGAAAGTCTTAGTTCATAGGTTCCAGGACGACTATCTTGACGAATTGTCGTATTCGCCTCTTTTCCACCATGTGAATGGCATTCTTGCCTTTGATTTATATTTCAAAGTGATGTCTTAAATGGAAGAACCTCTTTAGCAGTTGAGGTTGAGCTCCCTCGGGCTGAAGATGTTGGGTTCGACTATCCTGGGGAGATGTCTTGTCAATTTCATGTGGAATTAGAACGGGTAGTTCTAATGATAAGTATGAATAACACTTTAAATATTTTCCAAATCGGTGTCAAACCGTAGATGTTGCATCAAAATCAACCTTGAAGTCATTTAGTCCAGGTGATGGATTTCATGCAACTATAAGAATTTCCCTAGACATGCCGTTCTAATTTTCTGTAACTTATTTTTGAGGGCCTTGTCAGTTTTCAAACCTTATGTATAATATACCAAATCAAAGATCTACTTGTCTACTTGCTTATAGAGTTTATTTTAGAATTTTTAGAGACGTAGATAATAATTTATGTATATTCCCATAAAGGTCGACGAATCTGCCATTTTACTGGATTTATGAAGAATATTAATTCGAGTTAGAAACTGATTTATGACTGAACGATTGGTAGTTTGGAGCCTTTACAGTTGTTTAACATTAAGTCTAAGTTTCTTTGGAATTTCTCTCTTGAATGTTATTATTTTAGACTTTAATCATACTTTCCCCACTTAATCCACATGATTTTGGGAAAGATTCTAGGAGCAGCCTAAGGAAAAGCTCAGGACTTGATTATTCTCAATAAGTTTTAATATTAACTATGCTAAAACCTTAAAATAGACTTTTCAAGCTTTGATAGGAGATTTGAATAATCCAAAAAGGAGTTTTGTAGCTTAAGTTGTGAATTTTTCAATTTGTTAGAAAAAGTGTCAAGGAACCTAACCTGAACAAGTTTGATACTGCTGGTTTTTGGGAATCCTTGGAGAAGAATTTGAATGAATCAGTTTAAATAATTGGAAACTAGACATCCTAAGCTTTGTATAGCCGTAAGAATCACCTCAAACGGACAACCGTAACTCAAGTTATGCATTTTTGAAGTTAAACATAGTTTCTGAAATTCTGCAGAAAACAGCCTCGTTTTGATATGGTATAATGTGTTTTTGAAGACCTTAACAGACTAGAAACTAAGTTTATTATAGCCATTTTGAAAGCCCTAGATGTGTACTTCGATTAAGCACTGATTTTGTAATTTTTGGGGTTGTGTAGAATATTTTATGATTATTTTCGTAACAGTCGTCAAAGCTGTTCTTTTCTAAGAATTGATAAAACAAAGAACTGAGACCCTTATTTTTTGAAATAGTATAGCTGCACCTAAACCACCATTGTTACCATTTAGAACATATTATTAGTTACGTGTGGGAGTTAGAATCACGTCATTTAAAGTTTTGTAACCCGAGTTGTGTGCATTGAAAGTTTCATGCCAAAAACTTATCAAAAGCTGTCAAAACCAGGAAAGACCAGAATTTTAATTTCTTAAGAACTATTTTTGAGGTACATAGAGAGGTCGGATCTGGGTATATGATAGCTTGTTTCGAAGCTCTAGGTGTCTACTTTATTCAAAAACTAGAATTATACCCTTTAGAGTTATGTGGAATGTTTTATGATCATCTCCGTCAGAAAGGTCAAAATTGCATTCTTGGTATAACACAAAAAGTGTGAATTTGAACCCCAACTTCTAGAACCGAGATCGCTGCACTTAAAGCACTTAGCCTACCATTTAGTGTGTGACCTTAGTGACGTGTAGAACTTAGAATCACTATGTTCGGAGTTTTTTTTTGCCGAGACGTGCATAGTTGAAGTTTTGCTTAGAAACTTTTCTAAATGCCTTGAAAAGTTGAAGTTTCAGAATTTCAATTTCTTGTAAGATGTGTTTGAAAGGCTTAGAGTATTTGAAATAGGGCATGTAATAGCTTGTTGGAAAGCCCTGGATGTCTATTTTCATTAGAAATCAGTTTTCTACCCTCTGGTGACACGTAATACGGTTTGCACATGTTTCCTTAACGGACGTTAAATCAGCCCATGTATGAGATTAGATGACTGACCAAGTTGAATGAATCCTATTAGATTATCCAAGTTTGATTAAATGAAGAGCTATGTTGATAGAAGGCGACTTTGTCTTATTAAGAGTTTCACCGTACAAAGGGATCGCTCGTTTTGGTGTGAAAGAAATACTTACGCCAAGATACATTGGACCATTCCAAATCATACAACGAGTCGGTGTCGTTGCTTATCGCCTCGCCTTACCTCCTGAGTTATCTCACGTGTACAATATGTTACATGTTTCTATACTTTGCGAGTGTAAACCCGATCCAGAAGCTATTGTGCAATGGTACGACGTGCCAATCCAGTATGACACGACTTACGAGGAAGTACTAGTTCAGATTCTCAACCGAAAGATGAAGAGTTTACGCCGTCGTGAGATACCATTAGTGAAAGTGTTGTGGCAACACCATGGTGTTGAGGAAACGACACGAGAATTAGAAGCATCGATGGAAGAACAATACCCACATATGTTCATATCCTGAGGTAAGCTCTAATTTCGAGGACGAAATTCCTTAAGGGGGGTAGAGCTGTAACACCTCGAAGAATTAAACATGTTTAATTATGTTAATTGTAATATATTAGTGTGCCTAATATTAATTTTTCTTAATTAATCATGTAATTAAAAATTTTAATTACTTTTAGTTTTAAAAATACACTTACTTTTCGTTTCCTCTAAATACAATTTAATATATTTTTCCCACATTTTCTTTTCTTTTTCTTTTTCTTTCCTTTTTCTTTCTTTCTTTTCCTTTTCTCTCTCTCATTTTCCTTCATTTTCTTCTTCTTCCCGTAGCCACACACGCTCACTCTCTCTCTCTTCTCTTTCCTTTTCTTCTCTCTCTCTTTATCCTCTGTTTCCCTTTATTGGCGGTCTCCCTCTCTCTTTTTCTTTCCGCCCCCGCCCTTTTCCTCTCTCTCTTTTTCTCCCCGCCGCCGCTCTTTCCCTCTCTCTCTCCCTACCGGCATTCTCTCTCTTCCCCTCACTCTCTCTCATGCCGGTTGTTCTTGGCCGGAGTAGTAGCAAAAAGAAAAAAAACAAAACAAAAAGAGAGAGAACGGCTCCATCAACTAATTTGAGGTAAAACTCCTTGAAACCCACTCTTTGATTTGAATTTTAAACTTGAGAAAGTTTGATTTTGGTTAGATTTGAATAATGTTGAGTTAGGGTTTGGATTTGAACAATTGTTGTTAAAATTGAATTAAATTTGGGGATTTTCAGTTATTTGACTTGTTGAATTGATTGGAAACTGGTTTTGATGATTTCTGGAGAATTTATTTTGAAATTGAACTTGAATTGCTGGTATTCTGCCAAAATTTCTTTAAGACCTTGTTTTTAAGCTAAAATTAAAAGGGAAACCAAACCCATGAATAGGATTTCAATTTTTAAAGAACCCCTAAACTGAATTATAATGTCATTTATGAAACTTAGATTTGAGTCAAGACACACTAATAGGAAACAATTAGACATAATTGAACTTGATTTGTTTTAGGAATGAGGATTGTGCCCTAAAACTTTGTTTTGTGACAATGTTAGTTGAAGGATCAGATTAAAAGCTTTGAGGAAAGCGGAGGCTAGGATAACGAAAGGCTAGCCCAGGTTTGATATTTGAGAGGTAGGATATTCTTGTCCATATCCTTGTTAGCCTTATTTTAAATGATTTTGGCCAATGAAAATATTTTTGGAATAAAACATGTTTAAAGAAAAAAAATGATTTTAAAGGAAATAACATGAATAATGCTATTGAGTTTCCAATGATTTTGAAAATGGGATTTTAAAGAGTATCATTTCTTAAAATGAAATATTTTTAGAAATGATACAATGCATGGTGGCCACAGAGATCAGGATATGGGAATCATATCCTTAGGGGTATGTCCCGAAACCCGTACGGATCCACTTCTTGATCAATGGTGTTATGGCTCTGCATATTTTCATTATACAGATATTTTACCATTACTTTGTGAGTATTTCTTTTTTTTTTTTAAAAAGATGATCGGTTATGGGTGTATGTCTTCGGACCGTGAGTACCTTTATTTACAATGTTTTATAAAATTATATCCTATTGGGCCTTCCGCTCACTTTTACTATTATGTTTTCAATGTTTTAAACCCCCTCTAGAGTTAGCAGTTTAGATTTACAACGTGACAAGTGGATGCCAATGGATTGAAGGCGTGAGATTCGAAGCGGTGCGTTTGTTTTGAATTTATAGTTTTAATTCTGAGATGTACTGTATTTATGTATATAAACTATATTGGTCGACAGTGTCCCAGAGTTGTACTATTTTCCTTGAACTTTATGGACTGTTTTAAATATTATTTATAAAAAAAAATCTCTAGAGTAAACTATATTGATATTTATGTATTTATTTTTGTGATTTTTGTTAAACAGTATAATTTAATTAAATTAAACCTTAATAATCACGGTAGGGTCGTGACAACGGAAGAACAAAATCAACAAATACCGAAACATGTAAAAGGGAGAAAAAAATGCGAGATTTACCTTGTCATCAGTAAAAGGGAAAAAATCCCAACATAAAAAATGACAATAAATTTTAAGGAAGCAAAAAAATACCGAAAAATGCCTCTTTTTTATTAAAAAGAAATTGCATAGAACCCAAAATATTGAGCTCGGCAAGAAAAGAAAAGACGGCCATACAAAATCCCAAATGAAAAGAATAGAAGAGCAAGAGAAGACAATCAACAGGAAAAAAAAATGCCACAACAATTAAAGAAGAAGAAGGGGGAAAAAAAGAAATATCATATAACACAAAATACACAGTCTGCCAAAATCGCACAAAAATCCCAAGTAAAATCCTAATCAAAATAGTGGAAAATGAGCAAAAGCAAACAAAAGAAGCTTGCGTTGAGAACAGTCAGAAGAGCAAGATCAAGTGAGAACTGAGAGGAATAAAGAAGCCAAAAGTGGAGGCCAAACTTTTAGCGGATAGAAAATGAAAGAGGCGGCGCAAGGAAACCCATCGAAGAAAGAAATGAGGCGCAGGGCTTCATCAGAAGCAAAATGACGAAAAAACCAATGCTAAAACCAAATGAACTCATTAGGAGGCATTGATTTGTTCACAAAATTGGCTGCGTAGTCGTGAGCACATCAATTTTATTGACATGAAAGAGTTTAACGAATATGAAGATATTGAGTCGGATAATGTGTTTACTTTTTACTTTTTCTTTTTTAACTTTATTTCATCTTTTTGTTGTTTATTTTGTCGTCCTAAACCTGATTCTAATGATTTTTATTGTTGTTATGTTTTCTTCTCAAGATTTGTCAAATTATGTTCCAACACATGAGGGGCAAGTTGGGAATTGAGGTGCTATTATTCTGGATTGAACTATTTGGAGTGGACTAAATTTCCTATTTTGCTGGACTATATAGACTGTTCATTTGACGTATTGTCATTTTTATTTCTGGACTTTATTGATTGTTAAGAAGTATGTTTGATGTTATGTTAATGCTTATGGACTCTTTATGGACTTTATACTTTTAAACTGTTAAAGAGGTACTTGGAATATTTTTTAAATATGCAGATTGCAAACTATGGATGTTATGTTAATGCTGTTGAATGTTTTGAATGTGTTAGATTATATTTACTTATGTACAGTTTTTTTACATGTTCATAGTTGCTTATTTACTTGTTGAATGGAAAAATAAAAAATTGCAATTGAATGAAATGATGTCTGAAACAAAACACTATTTTGAAAACAGCATGAAAACTTGATGCTTAGAAGGAAAACTGAGGGTGCGTTTGGAATTGGTTCCAAAATGTTTTTGTTTTCTATATGAAAATAGAAATGAAAACGTTTTCATTTTCATTTTGAAATTATTTCTGAAATGCGTTTGGTTGTTTTATTCAGAGATTGATTTCAGTTTTAAAAAAAAACTGAAACTGCGTTTGGTGGTTTAATTTTTGAAAACATGTAATAATATTTAAAATAATAATATATTAAATAAATAATATTATTAAATATATTAAATAATAATATATTAAATAACTAATATTATTAAATATATTAAATAACTAATATTATTAAATATATTAAATAAATAATATTATTACATATATTAAATAAATATATTAAATAAACATCATTATATAAGACAAAAACAATTTCAGAAAAGAGAGAGAAGAAAATGAAAAAAAAAATAAAATCCATTTTTAGAAAACGAAAATGAGAAAATGAAAACACATTTTTTTCGTTTTCAATTTTTCACAAAAGACAAACAATTTTGTTTTCATTTTTAAAAAATTTTTAGGCCAACCGCATTTTATGTTTCCGTTTTCATTTTTTAGTCTCGAAAAACGTGAAAAATGGAAATGAAAACAGAAACAAACAGGGCCTGAAATTTTCAGCCTCTTGTAGCCCATCGGGAGACCAGGGGAGTGACACATAGGCTACCCAAATCAACATTCAGGCTTGATCAATACGCAAAACTGAGCCTACCTGAGGTAACCCGAAGGGTTACGAGTTTGTAGTGCTAATATGTGTGTTGTGGCCCAAATTTTTCTCAACCCGACTAGTGCGGCTCGGCCCAAATAATAGGCCCAACCCGAGCCTACCTGGCCGATTTACACCCTTAATTAGGAGGCAGAGGTAAAAATGCAGAGTCACAACACGTGGGACAAAAAAGACACAAATGCCCCCACTCAGAAGACGCAGAAGAAACAAGAGTAAGGGCAAAATGAGAAAAAAAGTGCATTGTACAATAAATAGTGAAGTGTGCATGGGTGAACAATAAAAACTTGGTTTTCCTTTAGGGCCCGTTTAGTTCGCTGATTCGAGTTTTTAATTCGAGTTGAGATGTGATTTTATGTGAGAGCTTTTTACTGTAGCAAAAAAGTTAGATGTGACTGTTTCTGAGAGCTTTTTACTATAGCAAAACTCGAATTCTAAACTCGAATCGGTGAAGTGAACGGGGCCTTAGTATATTTACTAGTGGATTATCCATGCAATTGCACAGATATTGAATGATTTAACTAATAATAATTTAAATGAGAAAATGTATTCAACAATGATTAAATTATTAATTATTTTGCAAAAAAATATATGCAAAAGATATTTAAAAGTTTATAGAAAATGTGATACATTACAAAAAAATTAAAAATATGCATGACATGTGAAATTTTACTAAAAACATCTCTGTCATTACAGAGCACAATTAGAGTGTGTATTGTACATAAATGTCACTTTATTCTTTATTCAACGATATAGATTTGAAGGAAACAACAGATCTGCTTGAAATTTAATTCATGAGTTCAGAACCATTATTCATGAGTTTGATTTTTGAAATTTAAATTTTTATGAGAGAAAAATATGATAAAGAATTAAGAGTCATAATTCAAAACCAGAAACGAACCTTTGTTCCAAACATCCCATAAAAGTTTGTATCATTAATAATTACACAACATATAAACGCTTCAAAAGCAGACAGAAAAAAAATATTATTTACAATAAGTTTACATTAATATTCACATAGTATACATATTTTCACATTCCTACTACTCTACTGTTGTATCTGAAACTTTCATTTGCTGATAAATCGTAATAGTAATATTGCATCTTCAGACGCCGGCCAAACTCTGTTAATAAATCTTTAATAGTGTAAATATACTGTGACACTCATACAGAAACTCAAATAATGTCTACTATTTCAATTATAAGGAAATAAATTTTTTTCATTCACTGTTTTATAGATGCAGCATACATTCTTTATACAACGTCTATAATGAAGCTGCAAACATGCCATAAAAATAGTCTCCACATTAATGGAAAATCTGATGAAAGTATAGGAAACAGAACAAACTCATGTAAAATAGCAGATTACATGGATAATAGAAAGGAAAAATAAATAAACAAACACATATGGAAAATTTAGTTGAGGTATTTTCCTTGAATGGCTAACATCATGCATCATAAGTAATTGAAATGTGATTTAGCAATACTATTCAGTGCAACACAAAACAAACTCCTAACATATTAAAATAACAAACATAATAGGAACTAAATTTTTACCTAAATAACAATAACTTATATAATTTAAATACTAAACAGTATGTTAGAAATTATATGACAAACTCAAGACAAACACTATCCTAACAACATAAAACAATAAACAGATATACGAACAACTGAATATATAGACATCACAACTCATAGAAATATAATACATAGTCTTTAAAGTAATTAAAAGTAACATGGAAGCAGTAAGAAATGAGTACCTCAGATGAAGAACAAAAGTGGACAGAGTTGACGCAGGGTAAGTAAAAAATCTTCAAAACAGAGACAAAAAAAAGAGGAAATATTTAAAACTGGAGAAAAAGAGTTAATATTTAATTATATTCATAGAATCAAAACGAATGAACAATAGAAACTTCTGTTAATCAAACCAAGTAAACTATTCATATCAAGAAGGTAAAAATCAATATAAATAATGATAATCAATTTCAAACTAAACATGACAATAAAGAATGAAAACAATAAAACATAAATACATGCATATATTAAGAGATAAGTACCTAAATTGAAGCAGAACAACAAAGAGAGTAAGCCCAATATCCAAAACCGACGAAGCCAAAGAGAATCCAGTATCTAGAAAACATCAAAGATAGTATTAGAAGTGTTATATCAAGTAGTCTATAAAGAGTATAATATAATGGTCGGAGAAGGAAAACAATGAGAAACAAAACTACAAATTATAAGAATACAATAGAAGTCTTTATTTATACATGAAGAAAACAAATTTCTAGTCATCGATAGATAACAACGGTTAAACCAAAAAAAGAACCGCTATAATCATTTCGTAAAAATAGGTGTCAAAGAGCATGAAAACCATATGAAGATCGAACCAAATACCAATAGGCAATAAATATATTAGAGACATATAGCAGAATCAAAACACGTAGCCAAGAAAAACACAATGCTATGGTAACCATATTAAAAAAATTATGAAAAAATCAATGTTTATCCCGAGAAATAAAACGGGAGAAAAAAAACCACCGATAAATTTTTTTTTTCCCTCATACTTCTAACATAAAATTCCTACATGCTGAAATGAAGGGAAGAAAGAAAAGGAAAAACTGAAAAAAAAAACCGGGAAAAAGAAAAAAAGAGGAGAAAAATATATATATCCCTGGTGAAGAAAAAAGAAAAACCCCCAAAAAACAAAAACAAAGGAAAAAAAGAGCGTAAAAAAAATGTAAATACAGATAGAAGAAAAAAATGTAGAAAAAAATAAGGAAACAAATAGGGGGTGAAAAAAACAATATAAAAATAACAATCTTAAACGAAGAACAAACAAAACTCCAAAGAAAAGAAAAAACAAGAGGAGGAAAAAAACAGGAAAAGAACAGGAAAAATCCAGACGAAGAAGAAAAATGGAAAGAAGTAAAAATCTTTCATTTCCACTGAGAGAACAAAACAGGAAAAAAAATCAGAGAACATAATTTCCACCAAAAACGTCAGAACTACGAAACCCAACAAATTTTCATTTCCATCAAAAACATAAAAACTATGAAACCCTAAAATTTTTCATTTCCACCAAGAGAACAACCGGTGAAAAAAAATACCTACCAAAAGAAAAAAAGAATAGAAACTTCATCGCAAGGGAAATGACGAAAAGGAAAGAGTAGAAAACGAAGAAAACAACAGATAAGAAATGAAAAGCAAAGCGTGTTTTCATTTCCAGTGAGAAAGCGAAAGAAAAAAGTTGGGGTTGTTTGGTTGGGGGATTCGTAGCCCGATTCAAATTATGGTTCATGGTTCGTTACAGTGTTTTCTCTCACAAAAAATACACGTAAATCGAAAATAGTTCTAATCTTATGATTCTAATCCATGAACCAAACGTCTCGTCTCCTAAGAGTCGAGCAAACAAAGAGTCAAGCAAAACATTCCCACCGAAAACATCAAAGCAGTAGGCAAACAAAGAGAAGAAGCCTTGAAGCTTCAGAGAGAGAGAAAAGACTAATATAGCTGGCCATATAACCAACTCGTGTAAAAGAAACTAAGGGCAAAAACGTCAAATCACATGATAAATCTCGAGAAGGACACAACGGGTATCAAAAGAAGTGAAGTACAAAACAAAAGGGCAGAAAAGACCGAAAATCTGAAAAAGGACACAACGGGTATAAAAAAAAATAAAATACAAAACAGAAGGGCAGAAGAGACCGAGCACTGTTCTAAGAACAGTAACTCGGGTGCCTCCTTTAGCGAAAGTATGTATAATAATATGTAGACCTATTTCCTATTTCCTGTGTTTTTTTTTTTTTCACATTGCTTTTGCTTTTTATATATCTCCCAGACCCTCTCTCCTGTCTCTCCCTTTTGAGAGAGAGAGAGAGGTAAAGGCATCAGGCGGGAAACCGCTCGTTTTGGGGCAAAAACCAAACCCTCCTCCTTAATAAGACCACTATTCACACACACAGATCCCTTATCTCTCCTCGTTCTCTCTCTAAAACCCTACTCTCCCAATCCTCCATAATCAGTAAATGAGAGAGCGTCGGAGAGAGAGAGACTAAACTCTGAGCTTTCAGCAAGCGGAAAATTCATGGCATTTCCCCGAAAAGACCAAGAAGACGACACCACCATCGACGTCCACACCGCCGCCGGCGCTCCCATCCGCTTCGTCCCTCTCGACCACGTCTACTCCGCCACTTCCCCCTGCGCCAGTGGCTCCTCCAACGTCATGTCCAAGAAGGTCAAGGCTCGCAAGCTCCTGCTCCACGACCGTTTCGCCTCCGAAAGCCCCGCCGCCGAACAAGACGACGATGGCGATCGGAAACCGCAGTTGATTCCTCCCCTCCCTCGCAAGCCTCCAATTGTCAATGTCTACTCTCGCCGCTCCAAGAGGCCGCGCCGTTCCTCCGCCAATTCGCCTTCTTTCTACGATTCTATGCTCGCTCGGGCAGAGTCTACCTCCGGTGGTGATGATTCCGAGGTCGGGAGGCTGGTGAAGAAGAGGAAGAAGAGTGGGGGGAAATTGGGGCCTGTCGGCGAGCTGGTGAAATTGGGTGTTGATTCCGACGTGTTGTCGGGTTTGGATAGGCCGAGGTTGAGAGATTGTCGGAATTATAATTTCGGTGGGAAGAACAATGGCAAGGGTTTGAAGAGGAAGAAGCGGAGTTCCGAGGAGAATTGTGAGAAAGCTTTGTCTGATTCGCCTACTACGAAGAGATGGGTCAGGTAAAACTGTCTCTTTAGGGTTTAAATTATATGAAAAAGTGAATTCTAAAGAAGAAACATGGGAATAAGCGCTGTTTTGGATGCTTGGTTTTGATGTGGGTAAAATGTTAATTTTGCCATAAAATGTTAGTTCTGATTATAATTATCCAAAAAAAAGTTCCTTTAGGGTTCAAAGTATATGAAATGAGTGGTTTTAATTGAATGAGTATTCTGATGAGTGAATTTAGATACTTGGTTGAATGGGGAAGTTTTGATTTTGACATTCACAGGTTGAGTTTTAATGGCGCTGAACCAAACTCATTCATCGGGTTACAGTGCAAGGTAAGCATTTTTCTTAATGTTATAGCCTCGTTCGGTTTGAAGCTCACTGTTTTGGTGCTTTTATTGAATTTATGGGTGTTTGTTGTTTAAGGTTTATTGGCCGCTGGATGCTGACTGGTATTCTGGTCAAATTGTGGAGTATAATCCTGATAGTGATCAACATCATGTATGCTCTTTGTTTAATCAATCATTTCTTTATAGTTTTCTATGTCTTGAAAAGGGTTTCAAGGATTAAACTTGGAGAAGCAAATGCAGGTTAAATACAAAGATGGAGAAGAGGAAAAGTTGATACTTTCGAATGAGAGAATTAAGTTCTATATTTCTTGCAAAGAAATGGAGAGCTTGAACTTGAGTTGCAGTCTTAATAGTGTGGACAGTGATTTCTATGATTACAATGAGATGGTCGTCTTGGCTGCAAGTTTGGATGACTGTCAGGAAGTTGAGCCTGGGGATATTATATGGGCCAAGCTTACTGGTAGGTGCTTTGTCTATCACATTTTCTCTATGATATAGAGAGGATGTATTAATGGTTTAAATTGTAAACACGTGTGTTGTGTTGAGTTACATATATATGGCCTGAAAATCCTTTTGCGCTTCTGATTTAGTTTTATTAAAAAGTTTCATTTTCCCCCATTGTCGACTTTAAACCTTTTTTATGCATAAATTGAATTGTTGGACTCTGGGTCAATGTAAATTGCAAGATGTTTGCAGATGCCACTAGTTTTGCTTATCTGATATTGAAGTCTAGCCCGGTGAAAAAAAAGGTTCATACTTTATTGAAAATGAGCCAAAAATTTAGCAGCGTGACATCAATACACATGTTTGTTTGACATCGAGAAGAATTTAGGGTTGTGTCTATCTTGGGATGCCTGTTGTTAGTTGTTACTTGCCTTTTAGGATGCATACGTTCATAATGGTGTTAAATTTATTAATAATGAGGCCTCTGCCTTGTTGCGACTAGCTTTTCTGTACAAGTGGTTGTTAAGTTGTCTGTGTCTTACCCATTTGCTAAATTCTTAGATGCCTCAAAAGGTGTTTCTTTGAAACGCTAGAATTTGGAGTTTCTAGCATCAACTTGTGGAGGATTGGTGTTCCTAGTTTTGTTGGCGATTCTATAGGTTTTTTTAATTGATTACTGTGACTATTCTTAATTTCTTTTTTATGGAAGATAATCGTAATTACTTTTGATTCTATGTAAACTACTTTTAATTGGTTAAGTACAGGTCATGCTATGTGGCCAGCGATTGTTGTAGACGAATCGCTCACTGTTGATCGTAAAGGCTTAAGCAAAACTGCAGGGGGCAGATCAGTTCCAGTACAATTTTTTGGTACCCATGATTTTGCAAGGTTTTCTTATTCTTTGAGATTTAAAGGACATCTTTTCTTTTTGCTATTGTAGTTTGATGTATGATTACTCATTCAAGCTGATATCATCTTTATAACTGTAATCACCCAGGATAAGAGTGAAACAGGTCATCTCATTTCTCAGGGGGCTTCTTTCTTCTTTCCACCTCAAGTGCAAGAAGGCACGTTTTATTAGAGGCTTGGAAGAAGCAAAAATGTAATCTTATGTGCCAGAGTTAGTATTCAGTTTATGTATATAAGGTTGAGATGAAGGTTTATTGATTCCACAAATATTGAATCACATCTATTTCTGTTATCAGTAGTATCACCATTAGACGATAGAATCTATGTTTTCAGTGTGACCATATATAGACCAGGCACTATATTCGTCATGGTTATCTGATGTAGGACAGCCTTGAATATCGGAGTAGGTTTTACAATCGTGTAACTAGAGCTAAAAAGTAGAGCATGAACACTGAAAACGGAAGTTGCTATTATGGGTTTTGATGAGAGATCCAATTTCCAAAGTTGTCAAAGGTTTTTGATTCTCGGTATATCAATTGTTTTTCCAACAATACTTTTTGATTAGTTCCATTAAAGGTTTATCCAGTGTTTAATCTAGATAGATCGAACAGAGTGGGGGTGGGGGTGGGGAATTTGTACTCATATTTTGTTATTTAGTACATTGATATTTATATGGCTTTTATTTTGTTATGGGATTGCCATTTTTTTGAATAAATTTGTTCTAACTAGGTATCTGAGTGAGCAAAAGCTTCCAAAAAGAATGCTACGGTTGCAAAATGGAATTAATGTTGATGAAGATGACGACGTAAGCGGAGACGACAATGGGTATACAGATTCAGGTGAAGATTTTGCAGAAGATCTGGGGATTCAGAGAATTTTGGAGGGCCTCCAAACTTCCCCGTATGTGATAGGGGATTTACAAGTGATAAGCCTTGGTAATTTCATCTGAACTTCCTCATGTTCTAAATGCTTGGACAATGTATTAACATGTTGATTCTCGTCTTAATTCACATTTTCACGTTCTCATCGAGACGATTTATTGTACTTTCATTTGTCTTTGGAAAGAACTCTTGCATTTTTATTTAATTTTAATGTTGTGGAATGAATTTGAGTTTGTGCAGATATATACAAGAAAAACGTGTATGGGTATTGTTTAATTTTTTCTGGGTTCACATAAGCTTTGATTAGTGTGTTGCTTGTTGTTCAGACAGTATGTTGTTTTTTATTGCACTCCCAGCCCTCAAGTAATCGGTTGTTGAGATTTCCATTCTACTTATTAGGCCTACAATTTTCTTGCAGGAAAGATAGTTAAAGACTCGCAATATTTTCAGGATAATAACTCCATTTGGCCTGAAGGATATACTGCTCTGAGAAAGTTCACTTCAATAGCAGGTGGAACATCATGGAGGAATATTATTTATTTATGCTTTGAACATGAAATTTTTTTGACGAGGTTTCGCTGGCATATTTATTTATGATGCCATTATTGCCATATAATAACACTGTTTCATTATTCATGAACTTTTGGGGTTTCAGATCTAAGTGCGTTTGCAATGTATAAGATGGAAGTGTTAAGAGATGCTGAATCACAGATTAGACCTCTATTTAGGGTGACACTGGATGCTGGAGAGCAGGTTAGTTTAATGGTAATGCATTCACTATTTTCATTCACAGATGTGCATTGTCCTGCTGCACTTGTTTAATGAGTCTTTTGCTTTCTGTTAAAAAGAAATTGCTTGTAATGCATCACTAATGGCTTTACAAGTTCCATCACATGGTTTCACTGATATCATAAGGTTGATAGTTCTGAAGTGTTTTTTGTTTGTTTGTTTGTTTTTTAAAGAAAAAAGCACCTAAGTGAGGCTCATGCCTCATGCGCCTTGTTAGGCATTTTACACCTCAAGGCATATGCCTTAATGAAAAAAGGCGTAAGCCTTGTTCAGTAGGTGGAAAACGCAAGCCTTGACTTGCCGAGGCCGAGGGACTGCTTCAGTTTGAGGCGTGCCTCGAGGCAATCAAGGTGTGCCTTTTTTTTAAAACCATGGTCTCTTTTTTAATTTATGATATGATCACTAAGGAGAAGTGGAAAACGACAGACACACTGCTCTTTTTTTTTTCCTTTGTTTTTTGTGATTTGTAGAAATCACCTGGTTGCCATTGGCGTATTAAAGCATACAGTTGCAAGGATGGATCTACTTTGGATATTTTACTTTTATGATTTACCTTTGAAGTCCTGACTTTTATGTCTTTATTGAGAGCCTAGATGCGTGATACCCTATGTTCTTCCATTTCTTCTGGCCTTGCTTGGAATAACTTTATAAGCTATGTTAGGTGCTGTCTTAGAAGTTAAAAGTCTTATTTAGATTTTTAGTCTCTTTAAGATGGTTCTAAAGTATCACATATGGCTTGTTGAATTTACTGTATAGCTTATCTCATGAACTTGTATATCTTCTTCTGCTCTTCCTCTTGATTTTTCCTTTTTCTTTCTATAAGCTCTATAGTTTTTAGAAAGGCGGTTTTTTATTTTATGTTAATTCTTGCTTGGGTAGTTCATGAAAAGAGTGTGCTCATTGTGAGAATTTCATCACTATGCATCTTGGGGCATCTAGTGGGTTCGTCATTATCTGCTGTTTATTGCAAAACACACGCACAAACATATTTTTATCGCAAAACAAGTGGGAATTTGTTACATCCTGGCTCTCTGTTGCAATTATATTGGTGTTTGAAAAGCGTAAATGCAATTCATTTATCTTCAGTTATATGTTTTTTCTTTTCCCTTTCATTCTCAGTTCAAAGGATCCACTCCATCTGCATGCTGGAATAAAATATATAAAAGGATAAGGAAACTGCAAAACAGCTCTGACAGATCACATACTGAAGAAAAATTGGAAGGCATCTGCAGATCTGGTTCTGATATGTTTGGTTTCTCCAATCCTGAAGTTGCAAAACTTATACAGGTATAATACAAAATTGCGATATAAAGTTAGCGAGTCTTCTGGTATTAAATGCGTTGCACCGTTGAGTTGGCAAGTCTTCTGGAATTAAATATGTAGATGTGGATCTTAAATCTTAATAATGTTTTGTTGTATTGTTAGAAACTCTTTTTACTTATTTGTTACCTTTTGGATGCTGTGCCATATTAATTGCTACTACAGAAGTCAATTAAGGAAACAAACTTAAGTTCAGGCGCTTCTGATTTATTACAGGGTGATGATCTTTTGGATTGTTATTTCACTTGTTCTTTTTTTCCTCACACATCGTAATACTGATGTTTTTTTCTTCCTAGGTTTTTCACCCCTTATATATTTGTTAGTGTATGTATGATACAGTCATTGATTTTGTATTTGTCTATCTAATGATTGTGGTATAAAAAGACGGACAATGTACTAGTATTAGATAGGATCACTTTTGTCTCTCTTCAATATGGGATGATGACATAGGAAGCCGTTTACAGATCATTGACAGTCTTTCTGAAGTAAGAAGCTTTGGTGTTGAATAATTTTTGTTCATTATATCTAATTTTTTAGTTTTTAGCTTGTTAATGTGTTCGTTTAGCATTCAGATCTTAGTGCTTTGATTAGATGTCTGCTCTACATTACACTTTCATTTCTACAGTTATTTACTTTTTCATCGTATCAACAGGGATTGTCGAAATCCTCGCATTCTTCAAAATTTTCCATGTGCAAGTTAGCCTCTAGAAAATATCAAAACCAGGGTGGCTATAGACCTGTAAGAGTGGACTGGAAAGACCTTGATAAATGTAACGTTTGCCACATGGATGAGGTGAAAGCTAGTTTTATTAGTTTCTGTCTTCTTTCTGGATAACATTTGTCCAATGTCTTTTCTACTTAAGCTCAGTATCCCCTTTGTCTCTACTCAATTGTCTCTTATTTGTTGTTTTCTTTATGCTCTTTATATGCCTTTGTATTGCTAATTGAAATTTTCTTTATAGGAGTATGAAAACAACCTTTTTCTCCAGTGTGACAAGTGCAGAATGATGGTAAGATTTTGTTCTCTTGAAGTAGTTGCTATCATGCCACCACGCATTATACAAAAACATGACATCAAATAATTGACTGTCAAATGCACTGCTAATCAATAAAAAATTTTCTGGCTTCCTACTGATTGAATTATTTGTTTCTGTTTTTGGATTATTCATTTCTTAAGATTTTTTTTCTTGTTTCTTTTTTGCTGTCTTGTGGTTGCTTTCTTCGTTTCAGTATACTAAAATTGCTGGTCTTCTAGGTGCACGCAAGATGTTATGGAGAAGTAGAGCCTTTTGATGGAGTATTATGGTTATGCAACTTATGTCGCCCAGGGGCACCCGAGGTTACTCCTCCTTGTTGCCTTTGTCCTGTTACAGGTGCTTGGAGGAAAATATTATGGTTTCTACTTTTTAAATTGTAAGGATTTCGATATGATTGAATTACTGATCTGATTTTTCTCTAGGGGGTGCCATGAAGCCTACCACTGATGGCCGCTGGGCTCACCTGGCTTGTGCAATATGGATCCCGGGTTGGCAACTTGGTCAATGCACTTTTTTTTTGTTTGAATAGTAATGTTTTCGTAATATTAATACTCTGAAATTCCTCAGAAACTTGCTTATCTGATGTCAAGCGCATGCAACCAATTGATGGTATAAGTAGGATCAGCAAGGTAATTTTATTTATTTACTTATTATAGCACTGTTCCTATTTTTATCTTATTTCTCCTACCAAAAAGTATTCTAACCTGATTTTTCAGGATGGATAGTTTTATAGTGGCCATCTTGGGGTAATTTCATTTGTGAGCACTAAGAATCATAAGAAAAGCCCTAACAACTTCAATTAACAAAGTTTCTTTCTCTGTAGACTAATATAGTAATTTATGCGTTGTTATATTCAAATAGGATCGTTGGAAGCTGTTATGCAGCATTTGTGGTGTTGCTTATGGAGCCTGTATCCAAGTAAGCTCATTTCTATTCTATAAAAAAAGTAAGCTCATTTGTAGTATAACTGCTCTGTGTTTCTGTTCTTCACACCTCATATTAATAGTTTCATCCAGAATTCTGAATTAGAGATTTTGACCTGTTTTTTTATTTTTTTGTTTCAACTTGTTGAAACGATCCCCACATGATATAACACAGTTGCTATTGACATGACAGTAAAGAAACATATTGAAATGCTTTATTTGTTGCCTAAAAATATTAGTGGACGTTTGGTTTATGAATTCAGAACTATGATTTAGAATCATTCTCAGTTTACGTGTTTTTTTTCGAGAGAAAATACTGTAATGAGTCACGAACCATGATTCGAACCATGGCACGAATCCTCATACCAAACACTGCATTAGTCTATTTCTATAATCCGCGGTATGATTCCAAAAGGAAAAAAAAAGAAAAGAAAAAAAAAACTCTCCTGCTCTTGTAAATTAAATTTCAGCCGCAATTAAGGCTGTGTTAGGTATTGCTTTTCGCTCTCAAAATCAACTTCTGCTTATAGCAAAAACTGATTTTAGTGTTTGGTAAATCTCTTTAAAAGTGTTTTTTGAAGAATTTTTGAAGAATCTACGGCCAAAATCAGAAGCATACCAATTTTAGCTTTTAGATTGTGCAGAAATCAGTATAGTACAATTAATAAAATTTTTAAATACCCATAATATCCCTAATGAAATTTAAAATTTACAATCTAAAATTCAGACTCGTAATATAATATAATAATACAATAATATAATATTATATAATGTAATAGTAATATTGTAAGAAATAATATCATAATTATATTAATAACTCTAATATTATTATTTTATCATATAATATGATATTATAATAATATTATAATTATTTTATAATATGATATTATA